ATATATTTATTTATATTTTCCTCTTTTTAGTAGATAATTTAAATTTTTTATAATAAGTATTTTAAAGTAGATTATTATTTTAAAGGCTCTTAGCTTACTTAAAGGTAACTTTTCTAGTTAATATTTTTTAAATGCTAAGTTATTTTCTAAGCTTTACTTAATCTTATCCTAAATAAGCTAATTAATTACCTAATTAATCTATAAGTTTTTAATTTATAGCTATAATATTTCTAGTATAATAAAGTAGTTTACTATCTTAATAATATTAAAAAAGACATTATTAGTTCTTCTAGTAATAATAATATAAAAGTATATAATCTTAATATTTACTATTCTACCTTTATACTTAATTAGTATCTTATTATATATATTTAAAGTATATAACTAATTTTTTATAATCTATAGAAATTCTAACTTATTAATAATTATAAATAAAATAAAGTTTTTTTATATTTTACTATCTATTAGGGTTATAAACTTTTAGCTTATTAAAGTAACTAGTACTTTTAAATAGTAAATCTATTATCTTTCTATAATATTTATTTTTTATATATTTTTTTAAGATCCTAGTTTTATTACTTAGGTAATCTCTTTAGTAATTAAGAATATACTATTATATTACTATCTTTATAAATTAATTAATTATTATTATAGCTTCTTAATTTCCTTATATTATATTTACTAAGCTTTTCTTAGCTCTAGTACTTCCTTTCTATTATCTACTAGGTTTTATATAAGCTTTAGTTATTTATTAGTTTTTTTATTAAGTTCCTTTCTAATTTAGTTAAGTTGTTTTACTAAGTTCTTTTATTTACTTAGTAGCTTTATCTTATATTTTAACTTAGGGTTTCTTAAAGTCTATAGATAGTAGGTCCACTATTTAGTAATACTTTCTAGATCTAGTAAATATTATATAGCCTCTTACTTTAATTATTCTAAGTCTAGTTCTTCCTTTACTACTTCTAGAATTTATTAAAGTACTTCTTCTTCTAAATTTTTAATAATTTCTTAGAGGATTTTTCTTTTCTCTTCCTCTTCTAAAATAGTATAGTAGCTAATTAGTAAGTTAGTAAACTATTTTTCTTATTTCTAGCTTATTTATTTAAACTTCCTCTAGGACTTAGCTAATTCTTCTAACTTAGTAAGCCTTTCTTTATTAAAGCTAATATATTTTTCTAAGTTATTAATCTACTATTAGAATTCTATTTATAGGTCCTTACTATAGAATATCTTTTCTAACTAATTAATATAGTCTAGAGTATTAAAGATAACTTTTTATTATCTTTAGACCTACTCTTATAGATTATAAATATTTTCTTATTAGTTCTTTATATTTATCTATAGCTTAAGGGTTTAGAAGGTATAATATAGTTAGTTAACTTGTCCTTATAGGTTAATTAGGTTACTTTCTATATCTATATTTTACTCTATTTATATAGGGTTTCTTTTACTTATTTCCCCCTTACTTCCTTTTTATATTTATTCTCCTTTTTCTATAGCCTTAGACTATTACTATTCTCTTTATTATTAGACTTATTATTTATAGTCCTCCTATCTATTATTGTAGAGCTAATATCCTATAGGTAGTTCTAGTATATTCTTTTATACTTTTACTTATAGCTCTTTTAGTTAAAAATTATTTTCAGTCTTTATATCTTCTAATTCTAGTTTATTTATACTAAGTTATTTAATAAGTCTAGGATATAAAGTTATTTCTCCTCTAGTTTTTATAAGTTCTTCTAATTTTAACTTATATATAGGCTATTATATTAAGTATAGTATCTAGTAATAATATTAATATACTTCTTTATAATATTACTTATAGGATAGGTCCTCTAGTTTTAAGGTTCTAAATATTTCTAATAAGGCTTTTATAGTTTCTTTAATATAGGTTTTAATTTCTAGGATTTTAGTAATCTCTTTTTATTTTATTATTTTAAAAGTTTATAGTTTCTTTAAATATTATCTTACTCTATCTTTTTTATTTTAGTAGATAGTATATTTATTATTATAGTATATAGTTTATAATAAAGACTTATAGTCTACTATATTAGCTTTAAATTATTATATCTTTCTTTTAGGTATTAGTTTAAATCTAGGTTTCTTTTTATTAGGTTTTTTATAACCTAGCTTAGGCTTGTATTTTATTTAGCATTCTCTTATATAGTACTTAAATTGTCTATATTTATAGTACTTATTAATTTTATTTTTAAAAGATTTAAAGATAATATTTTTATTATTAGCTTTTAATTCTATAAGTTTTAAATAGGTCCCCTATAATATATTATTATTACTTCTTTTCTACTTACTATTAGTAGAGGTCTATAGTTTATAAGCTTTTATTATAGTAGTATAGCTATATTTCTACTATTATTATTTATATAGCTAGTTATTGATTTTAATAGCCTTTTCTATATACTTACTTAACTAAGTAGATTTTTCTTCCTTATAGAGTTTATCTTTAATATCCTCTTTAAGTCTATTATAAAAGTAAGTTATTAGAAACTTATCTTTTTAATTAAAGTAAATAGTAATCTACTTAAACTTAGTTATATATTTAGTAGTAGATCTCTTTTAGTTTAACTTTTTAAGTTATTAAATTATAATTTATTATTTATCTAGTTTTTTAAAAGCTTTTTTAAAAGCTTTTTTAAATATTTTATAGTTATTAAAGATTTTAATAATTTTAGCTTTTTATCTAATTTTATTATTTTCTAAATAGTATTCTTCT